TCCACAACTAGAAAAGGAACTTTAGGTTTAGGCCATCGCACTTACTCAACTACCTATTCTGAAATAGCCTGCAATGTTCTATAACTCTCATCCCTAGTTTCACACATCACTCTAGTGCTTTCCTCAAAAACCCATCTTAGTTCAACCATATATTGCCTTATCGCCTTTGCATGATGTTTGGAAGACTCTGCATGGCCCTCAAGGACTTTTTGCATAGTCTAGGTCTAGTCTCTGCATGCTAACTCCAAACATTTAGTCAAGCTTTTAATTACATTGCTTGACTCTGCAAAAATCATCTCTAGGGTTTACGTCCTTTTCTTTGAAAATTGGATTACCATAAGATTGCTCCACAAAAGGTGACAAAAGGGAAGGGACAACTAGATCATTCTCACCCTTTGAATAGACTAGACTATCATTTGCATGCCCAACCTGGGCTAATTGAACCTCTTTGTCTCTGTTCTTTTTCAGTGGCATGGCTCCAAATGCCTTTGGGTATAACAGAGGATCTATGAACCTTAACTGATACAACCTACTAGTTGTCCACCAAGCATGCCAACAAAGGATTATTTCCTCAAAAATCCTTAGCTGGCCCTAATCACATGAGTTTGGGAATAAGGTGTGCCACTTACTTTGTCTAAAAACAAGGAAACACGATTTTCCAAATGACTCTTCTCCTTTCCAATGGTCAATCTCCAAAAGGATTGCTGGAAAGAATGTCCATGAAATAAACTGCGCCCCAGACAACTTGGCAGAACAGAGGGTAGAGTTCTACAAAATGGGTTACTAATTGCCTTGAACACCTCCAAGGACTTTACAACCACTTAAGTGTAACAAAAGATACAAATCCTAAGTTAAATACAATATCTTAAGGCAATTAACTTAACACAAAATAAATAAAATAAGATAGCATGCATGCCACAGAAATAAACTTGTAGATAACAAACTGTGTAGAATTACAGACACTGATTTTAACTCCACAATCCATAATGATTAAACAAACTACTCGCATATTTAAAATAAAGGTAACTAAACTACTTGGTTGCTCAAAACTAAATAGAATCTATGAATTGATCAAAATCTAGAAACTTGTAAAATTAAATCTTAATTTAGAAGTTGAAATCAAACAATCTGTAAGTCTGGTAGTTGTGTAGAAACAAAGAAAATAAGGCAAAAAACATTCAACCTATTTACCTAAACAAAAAATAAAGATGAATCTATAAGAAAAAGAAAAACTAACCCAATCAATGGGGCAGATCCGTTTTCAAGGCTAATTTGCTTCCAAGTCCTTAAAAACTAACCAAAGTTGCAATGTTTGAGGAAAAATATGAACAAGGATGGGAAAAACCTAAACTAAAACTATGAACAAGAACAGATCTTGCACTCTAATTTAGAAATTATGCTGAAAGGAAAAGCATACACGCTAGGCGATTTTCTATAGGGTAGGCAATGTAGAACTAATTTTTTCCTCTTGTTTTCCTTTTCTTCAATGCTGGAAACCTTTCTCCATGATTCTCGGTCCTCTCCCACCATAAACGGAGAGTGGGTACTCCATGTTTAAGGTAGTTTTCTTTTGTCTGGCAATTGACAATTTTAATCTAATTTTAATTCTAATAAAACTCTAATAGTAACCTTCTCCTAAAAATCCTCAACTTCCTAATTTAAATCAAACTCAACCACTAAGTAAATCACCTTATCTTCTACCACAAAAGTCCAACTTACCATAAATTTCGTTTGGGTTGTAAAACTTTAAACTAGCCCAACCCAATCCAGCCTACTGACTCTCGTTAATAACTAAGCCTCATCCTAACATGTGGCCTCATCCCATTAGTTTTATTTTAGGTGTAAACAATAGGAAAACCTTTAAATACCTTTGTTATTGCCTAAGTAAACAATACTCCTGAGGGATGTTTCAAGTAGTTAATAACTTGAGATTTCAAGTTGGAGATTTTGAATTTGAACTATAGAACGGGTGGAGAAAGATAAGAGAAGTTAAAAACTATCTCCTATTATATAACTCAATATTTAATATACCAAAAAGAGTAAACCATATCAAATCTTGTCAACCTCTTTTTTTTTTATAGAAATTCATGAAATTTATTAATAATAAAAAAAAGTACATACAAATTTTAATGAATTGAGATGTACAAGCATAACAAAGCAAAACTTTATTTCACCAAAAAAATAATAGATCATTAACAAAGCAAACTTAACCCATATCATCTTTACTAGATGATTTTGCTTATAATATACATCAATAATTAAGTTTCAAAAATCATCAATTACTAGAAACTAGAAATTACATAAGCAATTGTTTATAAAAGAGCAAACAAACGTAGAAGGAGTTCTAAATTGTGTTTGAAACACTTGAAGTCACATATGATGCTCTAGCTTCTAGAGTAAAAGGATTGGTCAGGGACTCTATCCGTGACCATGTTGTCAATGACAAACAAATATTGCAACTCATCTCACTCTAGAAGCACTACACCTACACTATTTTTCTCCTCACCCAAGGTTAAACCCTATAAAAATGTGTCAAAATAACTAAGATAACGACTCCAAAAAGAGAGAAACTCTCTTAAAAGAGAAAGAGACTTAAAGAAAAAAAACTCACAATTATTCACTTTTGTGAAAAAGGGTTAGCTAGACTCAAGGTTATCAATCTCATACTAGTGTGTGTCGATTTTGTTATTGGTACGCTACGTATTGTGTATTGGACTATATTGGGTACCATTTTGAATTTACAATTATAAACAAATAAATATATGTATATATATAAATTAAAGAAATAACTTTGTAATGATTTTTTTCTTTTAAAAAAAACTAACAAATGTTGAAAAGATACATAGTAACATTAGCAGTGTGAACTCCAAAATTGAGTTGAAGTTTTTATTCTTTAAATGAAATATATGAGCTTTCTTAAATATTTTATATAATAATATAAAAATCCAATTCAAAAAGTCAACTGCAATTCTGTACCAGGTGGCCTTTTTTTTTTTTTTTTATAAAATAAATCTTATCCCCTTATCTCTTTACTCTTTTACCATAACTAACATTCTCGGTTCTCACTCTTCTTTCATTTTCTTCCTCTTGTCCAATGACTCCAATGACAGATGGATTCCGATCAAGCTTTCTTTTTTCAAAGCCATTCTCCAATTTCCATTATATTCTTAATTTAAAGCAAAAAAATTTTCCTTTTCACTGACTTCTCAATTTCCACTTTCTTTTACTTTTGTTTTTTGTCATTCCTTCTGCAAATCTAGATTTTAGATCTAGATTCTAAAAATAAATTAAAGTATTAAACGCTTAAGTGGAAGAGGTAGAGGGAACTTCCTTAAAAACTAACTAATTGCGAGTTTCTAGTGGCATGGATTCCATGTCTGACTATGTTTTTTTCCAGTTTCTCCTGATGTGAAAAATTTATAGATTTGTTCTTATTTTTTTTATTGTTTAGCGTGAAAGTGAATACAGATATGTACCGAGCAAAAATTCGATACACAATATTTTGATCAGTACAATCATTTTTGGTCAAGGCAAAACCATAAGTTAAGCCCCTCAACTAACTCAAGAATCGCTATTAAGCTCTCAAACTTTAATAGATGCATAAAAACCCCTGAACTATGCAATCAAAGCAATTTAACCCTTATTCTCACAGCCAACTTAACTGCTATTAACTGTTGTTAATTGCCATTTGGGGATTGCCTCGTGTGGC